TATCTGTCACATGTACAAAATTATTTTGTATTTGTATTTGCTTTTATAACTAATGGCATAATACTTAAATAGCAATCGAAGTCTGCCTCTGTCTGTGTGTGTGTGTATATATGTGTGGGTATTTAGTACTTAGCAGAATAAATATGCAAGTGAAAGCCCCACAGCCGATAAGAAATTCCCAATCAATTTTGAACTCTGACTCTTTCCGAAATTAGTTTCATCTACTTAATTTAGCATTCATACTAAGTCTTTGGCCAGAGAGCAGCAAATGGAAAGGCAAAATCAATTCGATATACTTATAACTAGTTCATATATCATGGGGAAGAGCTCATAAGCCAATTACAAGGTGCATCAATCAAAAGGAGAGATAAACAGAACAGCTACACATGCACACACACACCCACACAAATGCACTCACACACACACACACACAGACGTACATTCCATTGAATCGCGACCAAGTCGAAAGGAAGTCGGAAGACGTAGACAAAGACGATATTAGTCATACGCTACACTTGTCAACGACTTTGTCTACGCTGTGCGTATGTATGCGTATGTGTGTGCATGTGTGTGGGTGTGTGTGTGTGTGTGTGCGTTGCTTGTCAGCGCGTGAAAATATGCGCCGATTGCTGTCTTAGGCACAGTAAAAAGACCTCTGGGCCAAACTGCTTCACAGCTGAAGTGCTCAAGTGTTTCCCTCTTACACCCGCACACACACACACACACACCTGAGTACTACACCTCACAAAGTAAACAATGGCAATATACAAAGCGTCAAAAAGGGAGTGTGAACCAAAGCTTAAGCTGCACGACTTTTAAATACCCTAAGCTAAATCTATAGCGAAGTCTCTACAATCTGCATCGTATTTAACTTTATTATTTTTTATGCACGTATTTGATTGAATTACCATAGCAAGCCAGTTCAGTCGGATGTGTAAAGTGCTCTACCATCTGCACTCTGACCCCGGTCAACAGTTAACTAGATCTATTTTATATCGAGCCATCGAGCTGTGCCATTAGCCCTTTATGCAAGCTATTTAGGCTGCGAACATGAAGCCAATTAATGCCTTCCACATGGCTGGCTCAGTAGGTTAAGCTGATTAGGCAGGTGCAAGGGGAGGGCGGGGCAGCCGGAGGTCTACTCTTAATTCCATTTCGTTATCAGCAAATGAATGCAAATTTGCTAGGCACACAAGGCGCAACCCGTTCAACCGTTTGGTAATGGGTCGATAATTTTGTAGATTGCGTGCAACAGGTTATCGATGTGGATTGTGCGACTAGTAGATACCCTGTGTTTTAATAAAAACTGTTGCAATTTGTTATATTTTTGTATTTGTCAATAAACAATAGAAAGAGTCTCAAATCTGCTCCAAGAAAGAGACTGTTGATCAAATTAATCAAGAGATGCCCCCATCGATAATCGCTCAGCAATAAAAAACTCGTAATCTACATAAATCACTTCCACTTCCAGTTCGCTCCATTGCCGGCTGCGCTGCCCTTTTACGGATTACAGGGTATGCAAAGAAAGCAGAAACGAGATTGCGTCATTTGCGCTGGTGACGCCCACAAGGCCCCACCATCGCCCCATTTCAGGGAATTGGCGACAAAACGACATCGGCCAACGGGCCATATATGAACGGGAAGCCTTATAGACGCTATTCGACTCGACTCATTCAACTCGAGTCGATGCTCATTGTGGCTATGACGGCTTTTCGTAGTTACCCTCTCTCTGTATGGCAAGTGGGTATGCTGGCGGAGGGGGGGAGGGAGGGAGGTGTATTGGAGTAGGGGTATTCAGGTGATCACATTGTTTGTTTGTATTACGTATTTCTTTATTATTATTCTCGGTTGTTGCCATTAATTGAAAATGAAATGAAATGAACAACAAAACAACAACAACAACAACAACAACAACAACAAAGAGGGCACACGAACAACATTAACAGGAATATTTCTGGCTAAGCAGTTGTATTGTTTAAAGTGCATAAACAAAAGCACAAACACTTCCTCACACACACACACACACATTCGTGTGGATAGGTATATCAAATTTATTCGCCTGAGAACACAATAATAATGAGAAGGAAAAAAAATACAAATTTTTGGTTCGTTGACCGAGTTTTTGGGCAAAACTTCTCCCACTTTTCTCTCGCTCAAATGGCAAAGTTTCTGTTTATTATGTTAAGTATTCAAATGTCCGTGTGTGTGTGTGCACGTATTTTAATGCAGATTTAAGTTGCTTTCGCTTGAGCTGTTTGGCAAATGCTGCTGGAACAGCTTCCGTTGTTCGCGCACAGTGGGACAAAGGCAATTGGCTGCGTCAGTAAATAGCAACAGCTGCTCTAAAAGCCAATTTAGTCAGATGTATTACTGATTTCGCAGAGCTATTACACTATTAAACATCGAAAGTGACTCGTTTGGCAGTCCGTGAGCCACTGTGCGACTTCTTCTTTGGCTTTGTTCGCGTGACCCGCTGAGCAAATGGAGGAAATGGCAACGTAAGCAAATCCAATTCGCTTGCCCGATGCTGGGAAGTGGATAGTAAAGAGAGCGAGCGACCGAGCGAGAAAAAAAGAGTGGGAGGGAGGGAGGGAGAGGAAGCACAGTGAACCGGTTAAGTATTGGACAGCGCTTTAAACTGAGCTTCGATGTCAGCTGAGCTGCTCAAGTCACGTAGATCTGCAGATAAACTGCGACTGCAGATGACTCAAGCGAGAGAGGTCACACGGCGGACGGTGGCTTGCACAGAGCTGGAAGTGGAACTGGAACTAGAAACGGAACCGAAAGCCGCACACTGTGCGGTCTGCCCTGTACGTAATGTAACGTACACGCAGCCGTTGAACCTGCTGGCCTGCTAGCGACGTAACTTGAAGCGGTGAAATTGAGAAAGGGGGGCTGGGGCTGGGGACGGGGCTGCCTGCCACTCAATTTCAATTAGGACACATCACTCAAAGAGACGACGAAAGGTATTTTCATTATGTCACTAACTATGCAACGTTTCCATCAAAAATCAAAATCTAAATATTTAATATTTTCGACTGCCTGGCAATCCTTATCAAAGTCAACGCGGTCGAAGGTGGGCAGCCCTTCGAAAGCTTCGTCTGTTGAGCAACCCCACATGCGGGCAGCTGATAAGACAGAGAGAGAGAGAGATAGAGAGAGATGGAGGGGGGTGTACTCAATTGAATTTGCCGTGCCAGAGAGGCATCAATAATGTTGCTGCCTGCAGCTGCTGTCTGTGCATTTGCATTTGTTTGGTTTTATGCGCTTTACCGTTATGCGTCAGGGCTGCCATGTGTGCGCAGGGCTACAGCAAAAGGGGGCAGGGCAGGGCAGGGCATGGCAGGCGCAATGCTTATCGCTGTTTGCTTTTTAATTTTTATTGCTTCTGACGAACGACCAAACGAACGGCACGGCACACGCACCCCGACACCGAGATGCTCTTATGCTATTTTTGTGTGTTCATGCAACGGTAGCCCCCAGAGCCAACCAGCCCCCGGGCTGCACACGTACGCGCACACACACACACACACACTTTGACACACAGTCAAGCAGAGAGCACACACACGCACGCACGCACACACAGAGACACAGCTGAAGAGCTGCCTGGTTGTTTACGCTTCGCTTCTTATATTCTTAATGATTGTTTTACACTTTTTGCTTTTACCGTTAAACGAAAAATAAACGAAATTTGTCGACTAAACAGTTTGCTAATGCCCGCGACGGCTCAAAGTCAACTAATCCCATTTGCGGCGAAACTGTGCTGAGCCTAATGCGCTGCAAAAGTCAGAGCGAGAGAGTGGGGAGAGGCAGAGGAGAGAGTGAGAGCTGTGGCTACAAGAAAAAGAACAAACTAGCTCAATTAATTAAACGATTTGTAAACACAATACCATGATTAATTACACACACACACACACATCCAAATACACAGAATTACAGACTGTATGCATTCATTTCTGGAATTAATGTAGAATGCATTAGTGTGATTGTGTGTGAGTGCAAGTACATTCTCTCCCTCTGACTCTCTCTCTCTCTCTTTCTGTCGCTCTTTTCAAAACTGTGATTTTCAAGCAAATCAGACAGACGCTGCGACACTGCGCTTCGTTGAGTAGGCGGCATCTTGAGCTGTGCATACATGTGTGCGTTTGTATGTGTGTGAGTAAGAGTGAACATCGCGAAGAGAGTAAAATCATAATAATCCAAGGCAACAAGCAGCGCGCTGTGCCGCGTTGATTCTGCCTTCGGCTGCAGATAAGCGCACTCACACACATACACGGACACATACATAGGTAGCAACACAAGAAAAAAAAAGAGTTAAATGAGCCGCTTTGGGCAGGAACTGCAGCTCACCTTTTTACTTGTAGCACTTAGGTACGGCGTATGCTGGTCTGTACTCTTTCTAGATAGCAACAAATTCAGCAAATATGAAGAACACATTTATTTGTAAGGCTCCTTCGCAACTTTACACAAATATTGACGCACATGCACACACGCACATACACATTGATCGGTCGCTCACGCACACGGACTTCGAGTCGAAAGGAAAACAATAAAGTAGGAAAAAATGGAACGGCACAACGAAGCCGCAAAACGAAAATAAAGTTGTGGTATTCTGGTTACTTGACTATGCTAGGGTTTACATATGGAACACGTAACGAAACCGCAAGCAGTTGTGCTTTCAATAATGAACAAAATTAACAAAATAAAATAGAATTGAATTTTCTTTCCGAAACCGAACAAACCAAGGCGAGCAGCGACGAACTAGTGATGTTAAATGCGGGCGTACAGCGTATCGATGTATCGATGTTGTTTAAATAAAACGATAGCCCGACATTACGATGTTTCTGTATGTATATCGGTGAGAAAATCTAAATAGTTACTGAATGCTTGCTCACTGACCAAAGCTGGTTGATATGAATTGTACGTGCGGGATTTAACTTTCAAACTTTATATTGTATAACAAAGCAAGCATTAATTACTTACTCTATGTCGGCAGAAATAGGAGCAGATAATTTGAATTTTATTTTTAAATTAATTGAAATTGAAATAGTAGCTGTTAAGCGATGGCCAGTCGTGAAGGTGGCAAGAAGAAGCCCCTAAAAGCGCCCAAAAAGGAGGCAAAAGAGATGGACGAACAGGACTTGGCCTACAAGCAGAAACAGCAGGAGCAGCAGAAGGCTCTCGATGCAGCCAAGCAAAAGGCAGCCCAGAAGGGCGGCAAGAAGGCAGCTAAATAGCATATATCGATGTCCTGCCTTGCAATAAAATTGAGTTGGCTTACGTTTTGCCCAGTTGAATGATGATTAATTGCTTCTATTACTGTGCAGGGGTCGGGGTTGCTCGCTTAAAAAACCATCACAAAAATGTGACAGCCCAAAGGCCACACAAAAAACCTTTGCTGGACACGGCCATTGGCGAGCGCAACAAATGCGGCAAATTCGCATTTGATGCGTTTTTTATGTTAATCGAGTGAGCTAATGGACATTGCGAACTGTCTGTCGTCCTGATGTCCCTATGTCAGTGTGGGACATGTGTGTGTGTCAATTTATTGTATTAATCAAACGATAAGGCGATTTGTAGTTGATGAAGCTTCAAACTGTGGGAGAGGCTGGGAGAAGAGACGCGAGTGAAACAGTAGGGGATAGGGATAGATATAGTCAGAGATAAAGTAAGCAGATAGATAGGAGCTGAAGGCTATAAATGAGTGAGAAAGAGAGAGTCATAGAGAGAGAGAGAGAGAGAGAGAGAGAGAGAGAGAGAGAGAGAGAGAGAGA